GGCTCCTCTCACAGTCCGCCCTGAAGACCGGAACGGTGCGGGAACACGGCGAGAGGAACGCGCGGAGCAAAGGTAAGTAAATTGACACAGGGGGGACTTGGCTTACTACTTGGGGGGGAATAGTACTATGGGGGATGAAATACTATATGAGGGATGAATTAATATGGGGGATGAATTAATATGGGGGATGAATTACTGTGGGGGATGAATTACTATATGGGGGATTAATTACTATATGGGGGATTAATTACTATGCTTACTATGGGGGAATATTACTATACTTACTATGGATACATCATTCATCTACTCTTGGTCCGGCCCCCGGGTCCAATATATGAACCCATTGCGGCCCTCAAGTCAAAAAGTTTGCCCACCCCTGCACTAGAGTGTAGTGATGTAGGTAGAAGGGGCAGAAACCACAGCAAGCAGCACTAGAAAGCTATGTATATTGCCTCTTCTTTAACATAGTTGCGTTCTATACAAGTGACCCTGTGGTGATAAGGTCACTTTAATCTACAGTTTGTGGGCAGGAAGCAGTGATTCAATCAAACAACCGAAAAATGATATTTCTGCATGAGTTCTCACCAAGGCTTCCAGGTAGCAATTACAGCAGCAGCACATTGAAAAGGTAGAGTAGTTTTTTTTTTTAATAACATTCAATTACAGTATTAATTGTGTAGCAATTGTATCTTTTATATTTGTTTTCATCGAAAGTGGAGTTAATCTTTAAGTGTGTTTACAACATGAAATAACTTTAGTTAACATATAAAAAGTGCACAAAATACACTTACCTGCTTCCGTGTACAATTCAAGTAAATGTATGGCTTTTGTGAATACTGCCCAAGTCTGATTTCTGTGATGGAGGTGCTGGCGGTAAGTAAATATAATGTAAATTGCGCTGATGGTTCTTAATCTGTATTTATTGTTTTTAAAATAAGTACATAAACTAAGGGGTGTATTTATGGAGCGTCTGCACTCAGGGCTAGTTCACACTAGATGAAGTTCAGTGCGCTTTTTATTTCTGCATCAAAAATGCATGCACAGTGTTTTCTATGTATTTCAATGGCCCTAGTTCACACCAGTGCAGTCAGTTCCAGTCAGTTTCTGGTGCAGAAAAAAAAAGTAGAACATGCCGCATTTTTCTGCACAGAACAATACTGGAACATAGCAAACTGCATCAAAACTGCACGGGAACTGCATGTGGTGTGAACTGTAAGCATAAAAACGTATCTGGAATGTATCCGGAGTGCACTTTTGTAGTGTGAGCTGGCCCTCAAGATAGATTTCTCTTCTTTGAGAGAATTGAAACACAGGGCAACATAGTGATTCTTGACTACTATCACTAACACTACTTGGCACATTCTGTTGATATTCCCCTATCCTGGCACTGCTTTGGCAGGCTTAGATTGACTTTTCAGCTATATTACTTGTGTTACTGTCTTGTGAGTTGTCAATAAATTTCTTTGGATAACCTACTACAGGGGCAATTTATTCTGTGCACGGCATTGACAGGTAAATTCTGTTTTAGAATATGAGGAAAGCTTATTCAAGCTTCTGACAAAATAAGTTGGCTGAAAGTAGAAGTTAAAGTGATTCTAAAGGCTCAGTTTTTATTTTTTTAAATAACAATCATGTCATTCTTACTGCTCTTTGCAATGGTTTCACACAGAGCAACCCCGATCCTCTTCTTCTTGGGTCCCCCACCCGCTCTCCAGGCCCTCCCCCCTGCCAGGTGCCTCCATAGCAAGCCACTTGCTATGAGGGCACTCATGTGTGCTCGCTCCTGAGCCTGCCCTGTGTGTCCATAAAATGCTCAGGGCTGTGATTTAAAGCAGCTGGAGCCAATGGCTCCCGCTGCTGTGTCTGAGTCAATGAGGAGAGAGTGCTGAGAGAGCCTCTGCTCACGTGAACATTGCTGGATCGAGTTTGGGCTCAGGTAAGTATAAGGGGGAGCTGGGGGAGAGGGAGCTGCTTGCAGAAGGTTTTTTTTTTACCTTAATGCAGTAATGTAAAAAAACCTTCTGCCTTTGGAACCACTTTAACCTCCCTGGAGGTATTCCCGAGTGTAGCTCAGGGTAAAGTTTCAGTACCACAAGCGGTAACCCCGAGCTACACTCGGGAATACCATACGGCGCTGCTCCGCGATCCCTCGATCACTTACCTTGTCCTGCGCTCCCGTGATGTCCCTCCTGCGGTGTCCCCGGCAATGTAATCCGGCGGATGCCGGCATCTGTCATCTGGGTTCCGTCCCCTGCAAGCGTCGGGACGTACGGGGGACGGAACGGCGGGAAATTTCAAAATAACAAAAAGTGACATTCACTAAAATCACATAGTAAAACATTACTGTATCAAACCATTTCACATACATTTTGTCCCGAGTGCTTTGCCCTGTGCCCTGCCTGCATTTTTACTGTTCTTATTGCCTGGAAACTGAGAAACGTCCATGGCATCCAAAAAGCGTCCCTTTAGGTCAAGAGCGGTTTTAGACCAGCTAGAGAACAGCGATAGTAAATCAGAACCACTTGCAGAATTCAGTGATAATGATTCGTGGGGGAAATTCGTCATCAGACACTGAAAACGATTTTGCGACTTTGCTCAACGATGTGCGAACTTGGCGCTATATTTCAAATTTCAGTGTTTTTGGTTTGATTATATTATTGAATTAAATTTATTATTATTATTTTTTATGATTATTTATTAAATTATAATTTATGATTTCGTGTTTCAAATTTTAACATACCCGGGATGTTTACTAGACTCTTGTCCGGACAGATTTCAGTGAGTTATTACTACGAATTGCAGGCCTAAAATATAAAAGGCCAAATTTTCATGCAAAATAATGGTACAGCACCAAAAATCTGAAATAATCATACCGCCAGGGAGGTTAAGTGTGGGTGTTGTTGTATGGGCCAGCTATTTTTATTATACATTTAACAATACATTTGGAATAAACGATAAATTAACTTACACATTTACTACATTTGTTTTAGAATTAACACAGGTATTAACACAATAGCCACAAATACGTTGACATGCTTGCTCTGATTAAATTAGTTTGATCCTATTTGTAGCTGAATACAATTATCTTCTTTTATACTTGAGCACTTGAAAGCATGACCAACACTTGGGAATGCCTTGCCATATAATTTGCAGGGTGGTGTGAGCTAAATCAAAATTGATTAAAACAGTCTTAAGGGAACAGTAATCATGAACAGAAAATTTGATAATAATTAGTTAATCGTTATGCACAGTTTAGATTCTCAAGGTGAAAAAGACAAAATACTACCAAGTTTAACATTTGTTATGCTAGATAAATTCTTTTTTTTTTTTTAATTATTTAATTACTGATTGATGTGAATAAAACTATGAATGGAAAGAATCCTTAGTGTTTGTAAATTACATTAAAAGATCTGCAATACAACCCACAACCTGGTTAAATCAACGTATTTTTTAAATTTTATTTCTAAACTAGCCATATAGTAGAAAATAGTTGATCCTTCTCAGATTGCCTGAGAGAGCATGTTCATTTCCATAAAAAAAGGGGTTAAAAAGACTTATGCAGGCCATAGATGGGTCGTTAATCAGCCGAATTTTCATCCAACCGAAAAATCGGCCGATATTCCCACCGTTAGTGGTGCAATGCCGTTGGCCATTTTTTGTGGATCTTCTCGTTTATTTTTATCGGTCAGCTGGAAAATCTACGAAAAATACCCGTTTTTCGTAACCATTGGTGGCAGCATCCATGGCAGCGACGACCGATTTTTTGTTTATCGGCCGACAATTCGGCCGATAAATGGCCAGTGTATGGCCAGCCTTACCAATGCAGGCTTATCTTGGTGAAAACAAGGCTAACTGACCATGTTCTATCATTTCTAAACCTAGATTTTATCTGTTATACCAGGGTAGCTGACACTTCTGGGTGATTAGGCTGTGCCGTGGCCACCCCACTATAGGTTTACATAAAGAAAAAAGGGGGCCTTCTAAGTGCAGCATAAAAATTTGATTTTTTTCTACAAATGTACCTGTAAAATCCATTTCTTGGAGTACATCACGGGACATAGAGCAGGCTATACATGACTATGTGGGTTATAGGCCACCTGTAAGTGAAAGGACACTGACCGACCAATCAGAGAGGAAGTCCTCCCCTATTTATATAACCCCTCCTATACAGGAAGTACCTCAGTTTATGTAGAAAACAATGACATTACAGAACAATGACACCTCAGTATTATTATTATTATTATACAGTATTTATATAGCGCCAAAGTGTTTGCTCAGCTCTGTACCAAGAGATAATTGCTTTGCGCACTTACCAAAGCGTGTTATCTTCATTGAATTACCACAATTCACTACTGTCTATAGGTCCCAACGTTGCTAGCAGAAGACAACAGCTACTATCACATCAGGAACTTTAACCACTAGCCTACCGGGCACTTATACCCCCTTCCTGCCCAGGCCAATTTCCAGCTCTCAGCGATGTTACACTTTGAATGACAATTGCGCGGTCATGCAACACTGTACCCATATGAAATTTTTATCATTTTTTTGTGACAGATAGAGCTTTATTTTGGTGGTATTTAATCACCTCTGGGATTTTTATTTTTTCTTAAACAAACCAAAAAACGCTGAAAATTTGGGGAAAAAAAAACGTTTTTTCTTAGTTTTTTGTTATAATATTTTGTAAATAAGTGATTTTTCTCCTTCACTGATGTGCGCTAATGAGGCTGCAGTGATGGACACTGATAGGTGGCACTGATGGGCACTGATAGGTGGCACTGATGGGCACTGATGAGGAGGCACTGGTAGGTGGCACTGATGGGCATTGACAGGCATCACTGATGGGCACTAAAAGGCAGCACTGATATATGGCACTAGAAGGCAGCACTGATATATGGCACTGATAGGCGGCACTGACTGGCACTGTTAGGTGGCACTGACTGGCACTGTTAGGCGACACTGACTGGCACTGTTAGGTGACACTGACTGGCACTGTTAGGCGGCACTGACGGGCACTGATAGGCGGCACTGATGCACACTGATAGGCGGCACTGACTGGCACTGATAGGCGGCACTGATTGGTGGCACTAATTGGCATTGATAGGTGGCACTGACTGGCACTGATGGGTCACACTGAAAGGCAGCTCAGATGGGCACATGATATGTGGCATTGATGTGCACTGGTATGTGGCATTGATGTGGCACTGATGGGCACTGGCACGTGGCACTGATGGACACTGACAGGTGGCACTTCTCGGGCCACACTGATCATCAGGGCACACTGATCATCAGTGCCCTGATGATCAGTGTACATGTCCCCTCCGCAGAATGCCGATTACCGGCTTTCCTCTCCTCTCGAGCTGTCATCGTGACAGCTCGAGAGGAGAGAAATGCCGATAACCGGCATTTCCCTGTTTACATGTGATCAGCTGTGATTGGACACAGCTGATCACATGACTGAGCCGACATCTTCGGCTCTTTCCGTAGATCGGTGATACGCTGTGTCCGAGGGACACAGCGCACCGCCGATCGCCGCGCTGCGCGCTCCCTGAGTCGCACATGCACGGTGAGAATGGGTGGACGTCATATGACGTCCTCCCAGAATGAGAGAACCACCTTGCGCCTGTCATTGGACTATATGGCGGGCAGGAGGTGGTTAAACATCTTAGGACTCAAGTTGCTATTTCTAGTTAAAGGGACCTCTACGCATCTAAGCCACTGATATTCAAATATTCAAATTAAGGTGTCTATACCCATTTATGCCAGAGTATATACATATACTATATATATATATATATATATATATATATATATATATATATATATACACTGCTCAAACAAATTAGAGGAACACTTTGAAAACACATCAGATCTCACTGGGGAAAAAAATATCACGCTGGATATCTATACTGATATGGACTGGGCAATATGTTAGGAACGTACACCTACAGAGGACTGAATTCAAAGACATCCCCGAAAATTCAAAGTGAAAAATGATGCAGCAGGCTAGTCCATTTTGCTGAAATTTCATTACAGCAACTCAAAATGGTACTCAGTAGTTTGTATGGCCCCCATGTGCTTGTATGCATGACTGACAACGTAGGGGCATGCTCCTAATGAGATGACAGATGGTGTCCTGGGGTATTCCCTCCCAGATCTGGACCATGGCATCACTGACCTCCTGGACAGTCTGAGGTGCAATCTGGCGGCGGTGGATGGACCTAATCATGATATCCCAGAGTTGTTCTTTTGGATTTAGGTCAGGCGAGCTGTAACAAGTTAGCCTGCAGCCTGCTGTTGTTTTGTCTTACCTCCTTGCTGTCATGTTTCCTTCACATGTGTGTTTCTCTGTGCTCACCTAGGGGCGTTGGCTGCTATTCCCTGGGTTTTATGTTCTCCTCTTTCATCACTTCCTGGCCCGCATCCTGACTGGCTTGTCTATTTAAGACATGCTCAGTCTGTCCCACTTTGCCTGAGCAACGTTTTTTGTCTGTGCTCCCCAGTGTTCTTCTGAGAATCCGTTCAAGTATATCTGTGTACCGACCCCGGCTTCGTTCCTGACCTTGCTTGTCTTCCGCCTGTCCTGACCTCGGCTTGCCTACTGGATCTCCTGAGTCTACTCCCATTGCACCCTGCTCCTGCTAGCGGTCTCTTCTACCTCAGCTGGGTGTACCTGGGGGCCGCGACCTGGTTTCAGCTTGCTCCAAGTCCATCCCCACCATCAGGGGCTCCGGTGAACAAGCAGGCTGGGGCTTTAGACTCCGCGCCCTGGGGAACCCCAAGCTGTGGATTAAGAGCACATTACCACAGGTGCTGACACGTGCGTAGGGGCAATTCAATGGTATTAATTCCTTTATCTTCCAGGAACTGCTTGCATACTCTTTCCACATGAGGCCGGGCATTGTTGTGCACCAGAAGGAACACAGGACCCACTGCACCAGCGTAGGGTCTGACAACGGGTCCAAGGATTTCATCCTGATACCTAATTGCAGTCAGAGTGCCATTGTCCATCCTGTACAGGTCTGTGCGTCCTTCCATGGATATGCCTCCCCAGACCATCACTGACCCACCACCAAAACAGTCATGCTGAATGATGTTACAGGCAGCGTAATGTTCTCCATGGCTTCTCTAGATCCTTTCATGTCTTTCACGTGCTCAGGGTGAAACTGCTGTCATCTGTAAAAAGCACAGGGCACCAGTGGCAGACCTGCCTATTCTGGTGTTCAATGGCAAATGCCAATCGAGCTCTATGGTGCCAGGCAATGAGCACAGGGCCCACTAGAGGACATCGGGCCCTCAGGCCACCCTCGTGAAGTCTGTTTCTGATTGTTTGGTCAGAGACATTCACACCAGAATACACTCCATCTCAATTCTGTAAAGCAGATGGGAAAAGAGGTTCAGGGGAGGAAAGACAGATCAAGGGCATGAATCTTCTTCCTTCAAAGAACATAAAATACACATACTATAAGGATTTGCAGAGGCGTTGAGGGAGTTAATAGCTACAAGTCTTCTGTAACCTGCAGCAAAAAAGAAAGGACGAGGAACAGCCCCCTCCTCCCTCCCTAATCCAACAAAGAAAATACCATGCAATGATAGCACTGCGTCTAAGAAGATGTTACTGCAAATATAGGAGCAAAATTGTTTTGACCAAACTTCAGTTTTAAGCAGTGGAAGGGGACAAAATGGATGATAGAGACTCATGGGTTAGAGCTGGCCCCTAGCAGGCAGCTGAACCAGACCATATGAAGCCCCCTTCACACAAGAACCATGTGGGAGTAAGCCCTACAGCTCACAAACACAACAACTCCACTTCTTCTTGCCAATGATAGTAGGGAAGGCCACACAAAAAAAAGCTACGGGTTAAGACTCAAACTATCCCCCAACTGCCCATATGTACCAAAGGCAATGAGTAGGCCTGTAACAGATCCAGTGCCAGAACCAGTGTCTTGCCCTATAAAAATATAGAGCAACCACAGAGAAAAGTTGGAAAGGAATCCACTGGTTTCTCAGAAGAAACAAGGCAAACTACTATCTGCATCATGACTAATGTAGAAGAGATGTGTTGGCAAATGCTAAAGCAACTAAAACCATACCAACCCAACTTTCTCAAAAACCCCTTCCTCCCAAACTCTCCCTCTACCAATAAAGGAGACCACACACCGTTGAAGTAAAAATGGCCTTCACAGCCTTTTATTAACAATTCCTTAAAACAGAAACATATAGGATACGTTTTTGGTCTAGGAAGGCACCAAACAATATTGATCTCCCCCTACGAAACCTTAACCTTAATATTCCTACTAGGTCTCCAGCCACTACACACCGACTCGGAGACAAAGACACACCTTCCGCAGTGTAGAACCTCCACCTTCCAGTTAAACCTTGGTTAACTGGAATGCACCCGGGCACACCATACCACAGATGGGTCCCAACCATACACTTTTTCTTAAAAAATTTGCCGCCTCCAAAGACCAACAACTGTCCCCAAAACAAAACAAATCAAACACGGAAAGACCTAAAAAACACCCCAGGGGAGGGAAGTTTCCTCTTCAGCTGCTATACCAGCACTGGATCGTCCGACCCCCCAACACTCCCCAAAATCATCAATGATCCCACCCCGTGCTACCATCACCAATCAGGTAACCATCCTGTTTAAACCCATCCCCTTTAACTTAACCCTTTCCTGTCTTTCTTTCAACTCTTCACCTAGTCAAGTCTGCCCTACGCTATTCTTCTCTTTCTTTTTCGCAACGGGCACCACTTGACTAGTGTAGAAGAGATGTGTTGGCAAATGCTAAAGCAACTAAAACCATACCAACCCAACTTTCTCGAAAACCCCTTCCCCCAAAATTCTCCCTCTACCAATAAAGGAGACCCACACACCGTTGGAATAAAAATGGCCTTCACGGCCTTTTATTAACAATTCAACTTAAATCACAAAAACATTCCTTAAAACAGAAACATACAGGATAAGTTGTTGGTCTAGGAAGGCACCAAACCATATTGATCTCCCCCTTAATATTCCCACTAGGCCTCCACTGACTCGGAGACAAAGACACACCGTTCACAGTGGAGAACCTCCACCTTCCAGTTAAACCTCCATACACTTTTTCTTAAAACAATTTGCCTCCTCCTCCAAAGACCAACAACTGGCACAGCACGCTGGGGAAGCCCTTACCCATGCGTGCCACACCACAAACTAACAGCTCACTGGATGCCATCCTGTAAACCCAAGGACCACATATCGGTCCCTACCGCGTTAAGGTGCACACCATCCAAATAATGAATGACGGAATTCACTCCTGAAACATCCCGCACGACCCACCCCACGACTCGAAAAATGCACAGGAGATGGAACACCCCATGGGAAGGCACCAATCTACATAAAATGCACCCTGCCAATAAGCGAAAACTGTCAGGATGAACTGGCAGCAACCGGAAAGCCGAATCAAAGTCCGATTTTGCCATGAGAGCACTTCGCCCATAACGACGCACCCAAAAAAAACGCGGCAATGAAAGAAGTATACAACACCGAACACGACTCATGAGCGATGACATCATTGACAGACCCCTCCCCCTTTCGGGAAGAAAAGATGATGGATCAGCCGAAAACGCATTGGGCTCCTTTTTGGGCACCACCCCCAAGAAAGAGACGACCAACCCCGGCAGAGGCGCAGTCGGAAACAGACCACCCATGCAGCCCAATGCCACTTCCTTACTCAACTTATCAGAAACTACCTTGGGATGCTGCAACACTGAACCAAATTCCGCGCCAATGGCGAAATGGAAGCCAAAGTACAAGGGATGCGGAAACCCTCAGAAAAATCAACCTCTAGCAGTGACGCCGCCTCCCAATCAAGATATCTATTTAGAAAAGGCCGCATCCTTTCCACCCTCATCGGCATAGTCCCTCTTACCCACAAGCTCTCCGGCACGGCCCTTACCATGTTGAAAACAACGTACCAAGGAATGGGAGCCGCCGCGACCGGAACATTCGTGTTTAAACCGGCAGGCCCCACCGAACTTACAGGATCCCTCGCTGAAATGCCAACAACACCCCAAATTTTGCGGCCGATTCCCCTGGGGCAAATGAACTAATGCCCCCCCCCAAAAAAAACAGACTAGGAACACGTGCCGGAGTCATAAGCCGCATCCAAAGGCCGCAGGGATGGACGGACAGCCCTGCGCTGCCAGAACTGTTCATCGTAATGGAGCCAAGCTGTGCCCCCGTAAACCCTATGCACCTCGCTAATAGCGTTGAGATAACAGAAGAACGCTGAACAATGCTCAGGAGTTTTCTCACCAATAACACTGGCCATAATCGCAAATGCCTGCAACCAACTGGAGAAGGTACACAGGATGAACAGAAAACGCCGCTTCTCCGCTTCCTCCCACCCACCATCCTCAAGCCTGGACCCGTCAAAGCAAAATCTCTCCAGGGGAAGTAGTGAGATCTCCAAATACTCACCTCTCCAAATCTTCTCACGGACATCCGGATGCA